CCAGTCTTGGTGACAGAGCGAGACTCGGTCTCAAAAAAAAAAAAAAAAAAACTTCCATCTTGCAAGATGACGGATGGAAAAGCTGAGTAGAAGCTAAGGATGCTGATGCCAGTGGTGAGATCAATGGGGAAGCCCCCTACATCTGGGAGCCTGTCCTAGCATAGAAATCTGCAGAGTTCCAATCCGAGAGGTACTCCAGGAAGACTATGCCCAAGCAGATGTCCACAGCCGTTAAATCCACAATTAAGAAGACAAAGGTGGCCGGACGCGGTGGCTCATGCCTCCCAAGTGCTCATCCCAGCACTTCGGGAGGCTGAGGCGGGCAGATCACCTGGGGTCAGGAGTCACAAACCAGCCTGGCCAACATGGTGAAACTCTGTCTCTACTAAAAATGCAAAAAGTAGCCAGACATGGTCGTGGGCACCTGAAAATCCCAGCTACTCAGGAGGCTGAAGCAGAAGAATTGCTTGAACCTAGAAGGTGGAGGCTACAGTGAGCCAAGATCCCGCCACTGCACTCCATCCTGGGCAACAGAGCAAGACTCTGTCTCCAAAAAAAAAAAAAATCCAGGCACAGTGGCTCACGCCTGCAATCCCAGCACTTTGGGAGGTGGAGGCGGGTGGATCACGAGGTCAGGAATTCAAGACCAGCCTGGCCAACGTGGTGAAACCCCACCTCTACTAAAAAATATAAAAATGAGCCAGGCGTGATGGCACACGCCTGTAATCCCAGCTACTCTGGAGGCTGAAACGGGATAACCTGGGAGGCGGAGGTTGCAGTGAGCCGAGATCATGCCATTGCACTCCAGCCTGGGTGACAGGATGAGACTCCATCTCAAACACACACACACACACACACACACACGGAAGAAAAAGGAAAGTTCTTTCTACTATGACAAAGCTAGGTGGTGGTAATAAGAATGGTGACATCAAAGTGAGAAATTATCAAAATGCCTAGACAGTACTCTCCTGAAGATGTGATTTGAGAACTGTTCAGACATGAAACAAAGCACTACCATCAACATGTAAGAAAACTACATTTGGGCATCCCTGCTGGGGCTCCTCTGATCAACCTCACTGGCCACAGGGGAGGCAAGCAGTGGTTTCCCTGAAGCTACTGAGCAGTAGCCTGCCACACAGACCACTAAATCCTCAACTGAGTTCCTTTACACAGAACACTGAAAATTTGTCAATGCCTCTACCAAAATGGACCTTGATGGTATGAAAATCCCAAAGCATTTCAATAATGCTTACTTTTAAGAAGAATAAGCTGCCTGAGACTAGACACCAAGAAGAGGAGCTCTTCAACTCAGAGAAGAGAAATATGAGTTTATTGAACACTGCAAGGTAGACCAGAAAACTGTGGACTCTCAACTTTGGTTCAAAAAGCAAAGCCCTTCCTAATTCCAGGACCTCTTAGATTCTGTGTGGCATTGAAAATGAAGTTTATCTTCACAAGTTAGTGTCCTAAACCTCTTGCAGAGCTCTAATTAAAATATCTAAAACAGGCTGGACGTCGTGGCTCACGCCTGTGATCCCAACAATTTGGGAAGCCAAGGCAGGAGGATGGCCTGGGGCCAGGAGTTCAAAACCAGCCTAGGTAACCTAGTGAGACCCCAGTCTCTGAAAAATTTAAAAATTAGCTAGGCATGGTGGTTTGTACCTGTTGTCCTAGCTAATCAGGTGGCAAAAGCAGGAGAATCACTTGAGCCCTGGAATTTGAGGTTACAGTGAGCTATGATCATGCCACTGCAACAGAGACCTCATCGCTTAAAAAAAAATACGTACCTAAAACAACAATAACAAACAAACATGAACCAAAACAAACAAAAGCCCTATTGTTTCAAGGGAACTTCTTTTCTTTTTTTTCTTTTTTTTTTTTTTTTGATAGGGCGTCTCACTCTGTCGCCCAGGCTAGAGTGCAGTGGCATAATCTCGGCTTACTGCAAGCTCCGCCTTCTGGGTTCACACCATTGTCCTGCTTCAACCTCCCAAGTAGCTGGGACTATAGGCACCCGCCACCGCGTCTGGCTAATTTTTTATATTTTTAGTAGAGACAGGGTTTCACCATGTTAGCCAGGATGGTCTCGATCTTCTGATCTCATGATCCACCCACCTCGGCCTCCCAAAGTGCTGGGATTACAGGCGTGAGCCATCACGCCTGGCCCAAACTTCTTTTCTTAATAAAGAAGACTGAGGCTAGGCACAATGGCTCACGCCTGTAATCCCAGCACTTTGGGAGGCCAAGATGGGTGGATCAACTGAGGTCAGGAGTTCAAGACCAGCCTAACCCACATGGCGAAACCCCGTCTCTACTAAAAATACAAAAATTAGCTGGGCATGGTGGCATGCGCCTGTAGTCTCAGCTACACAGGAGGCTAAGACAGGAGGATCACTTGAACCCGGGAAGTGGAGGTTGTAGTGAGCCGAGAATGCACGACTGCACTCAAGCCTGGGTGACAAAGAAAGATTCCGTCTCAGAAAAAGAAAAGAAAAAAAGAAAAGGCACAGTGGCTCACACCTGTAATCCCAGCACTTTGGGAGGCTGAGGCGGGCGGATCACCTGAGGTCAGGAGTTTGAGATCAGCCCCACCAACATAGCGAAACCCTGTCTCTACTAAAAATACAAAAATTAGCAGGGTATGGTGGCATGCACCTGTAATCCCAACTACTTGGGAGGCTGAGGCAAGAGAATCACTTGAACCCAGGAGGTGGAGGTTGCAGTGAGCTGAGACTGAGCCATTGCACTCCAGTCTGGGTGACACTAGCCTGGGTGACAGAGCGAGACTTTGTCTCAAAAAAAAAAAAAAAAAGTCCGTTAATACATTCAAACATGAGAAGCTCCCTAAGATGCAGAGAGCACAAAGGTAAATATTGCATCTGCAACAAATGTCCTGGAACACCAGCAACCCTAGAAACACACTAAAGTCATCTGTGAAGATGAGGGTTCCATGTCCCAAGTCTCAAAGAAGGAAAGCTTCTAAGGCAATATTTAAGAAAGGGTGTTTCAGGCCATACACCTAAGAGCCATGGCATTGGTTCTGAAGGCACATGTGGTCAGTCAAAGCCAGTCTTCCAATAGATTCGTACGTGAATGTCCTCACTCAGAGGACAAGGAAAACTTGTCTCCAGGCACTGGGTTCTCAACTAATATGAAACCAAGACAAATAAACTTATTTATTTTAGGTCAGAAATAAAAGCAGCAAATTCCTCAAAAACTGGCCAGTAGAAGTTTAAGATACGTGGGAGTTCATCTCTCTCGTACCTTTTCTCTCACGTGAGCCTGTTTATCTCCATTCAGGGTAACATGACAGTCTTCTTTTGAGGGCTGAACAAAAATTGTTTCTAGGATACACTCTTTAAATTTAGGAATTTAATCCCTCAAGAACCTAAACAAGGCCCCAAAATGAATTTTAGCATTTTATTACTTATGATATATACACATCAGGGAAAATTATGCCACTGCTCAAAGAATAAAGTAGACCTGCGTGACTGACAAGGAAGAAAGGATGTCTGGGATACACTGGTGAAAGGCAACAGCAAGCTGGAGAGCCAAGCATAGAGTGACATACCATTTTTATAAAGCAACTATACACATGAGGATATAGAAGTATCCCCCACCGGGGCTGGGCACGGTGGCTCACACCTGTAATCCCAGCACTTTGGAAGGCCAAGGCAGGAAGATCGCTTGAGCTCAAGAGATCAAAACCAGCCTGGGCAACATGGCAAAACTCCGTCTCTACTAAAAATACAAAAATTGGCCGGGCGCGGTGGCTCAAGCCTGTAATCCCAGCACTTTGGGAGGCTAAGACGGGCGGATCACAAGGTCAGGAGATCGAGACCATCCTGGCTAAATACAAAAAACTAGCTGGGTGAGGTGGCGGGCGCCTGTGGTCCCAGCTACTCGGGAGGCTGAGGCAGGAGAATGGCATAAACCCGGGAGGCAGAGCTTGCAGTGAGCTGAGATCCAGCCACTGCACTCCAGCCTGGGCGACAGAGCGAGACTCCGTCTCAAAAAAAAAAAAAAAATTAGCCAGGTGCAGTGGTGTACACCCAGGAGGCTGAGGTGGGAGGATTGTTGGAGCCCAGGAAGTTAAGGCTGCAGTGAGCCATGTTCATGCCACTGAACTCCAGCCTGGGTGGCAAAGCAAAACCTGGTCTCAAAAAAAGAAGAAAAGAAAAGATCCCCACCATGCTCCCACAGAGCATAGTTAAGGGTCAGAAAGGAAGAGCTTATGTAACCATTTAACATTTCTTCCCCTAGGGAAGAGGATTAGAAAATAAAACAGAGGGACTGGGCAGAGTGGCTCACGCCTATAACCCCAACACTTTGGGAGGCTGAGGCAGGTGGATCATTTGAGGTCAGGAGTTTGCGGCCAGCCCAGTCAATGTGATAAAATCCCATCTCTACTAAAAATACAAAAATTAGTTGGGCGTGGTGACACGCACCTGTAATCCCAGCTACTTGGGAGGCTGAGGCAGAAGAATCACTTGAACCTGGGAGGCGGAGATTGCAGTGAGCCGAGATTGCGCCACTGAACTCCAGCCTGAGTGACAGAGCGAGACTCTGTGTCAATAAAAAAAGAAGAGAAAAGAAAATGGGGGGCTTTCCCTTCAACTTCATGCATTTCTACAGTGTTTGCATTTTCTTATCACAACCATGAATTATTATCTTTTTTTTTATCCTAAGCAAGCTAATACAGGAAGTTTTTAAAAATTAAAGCAACATTCTCTTATACGTAATAACAGACTATACCCCCAATAAATGATTTCCTATTATTGCCTTAAAGCCACAGCTACAATATGCAACAATCAGTGAGGCTGTTTCTAAATGGGTTAGCTCTTGATCTTTATAAAGAGGAAACCAGGGAGACACCTGTAAGGCAAGAAAGCCTTTGAATGAATGAGACCACATGGGCAAGAACCACATTCAGTTTTACCACAGGCATCTGAGTGTCAGAGTGTTAGGCTAATTCCAGAGAGACAGATGTAAAGACTCACCAGATAAAGGTGATTTTTGTCCTGAAAGGCATACTGTAATTGGGGGATCCACGGGCTTGTGCTTCGAGATAGTATGTTCCGCTCTTCCTCAAAAAATGAAACCTAGGAAAAAAAGAAACTGCTTAGAAAATTATAAAGAATTAAGTGTGAGAGGGGGGAAAAAGTATTTTCCTCTGTCTTTATGCCTAAACAGATATTTCTAGCTTAAAAAAAAAAAAAAGAAAAAGAAAAGAAAGAAGAAGGAAGGAAGCAAGGAGGAAACGAGGGAGGAAGGAAGGGAGGGAGGGAGGGAAGGAGGCAAGGAAGGGGCTGTCACTTAGCCCAGAATTGCATAAATCTCAATCATTCACCTACTTTGGTCACAATTTTTGCCAGCTCCATATATTACCTGCTCAATTCTTTAACATATTTCTTTAAACTCCCTTTCTTTAAATGTAAATATTTTTCTCTTCCTTTTCTGTTCCTGAACAATTCAGTCCTAAAGCCACTCGCTGGTATGGAACAAGGTAAGCATCCATACTGGTTATGGGGAGAGTCACGGTGGCCCAGGACAGGGTGCCAGTCCCAAGCAACGTGAGGAGGGCGGCACCCACGTGTGGGCGCAGCCCAATACCACAGGCCCACACAGGGTGAAGAAGACATTCAGGTGAAAGGGCAACTTATCTGGACAGAGCAGATTATCTGGACCCACCAAGGGGAGGTGGGATACCAACAAAGGCAGTAGATTGGATGCACACAGATGCATAAAATAAGTAAACATATTAAGGGTATAATGTCAGAGAAGAGAATTACAAACATGGAAAGGGTGAAAACTAAAATGAACCCTGTGAAGTTGGATTGGAACTGGGGGTACTGGTGTGAACTCATGGTTTTCCCTTTTTATTTTTGTAGAGACAGAGTCTCTATGTTTCCAAAGCTGGTCTTGAACTCCTGGCTTCAAGTGATCCTCTTGCCTCAGCCTCCCAAAATGCTGAGATTAAAGGCATGAGCCACTGTGCCCAGTCACAGTTTTCAATATATAGACATAGATACACAAATATAGATGTAAATGTATGTGCGTGTGTGTGTGCGTGTGTGCACACGTGCACGTGTAGGTGGATATATACTGTATATACATATGTATATTCCTTAGTGCTGTCCACTGAAAGGGGTCTGGGAGTAGTGACACCCCAGTAGCAATGAAAATACCCAATGTCCAGATCTCGGCCTCTAAACACCATTGTCCACTGAAAGGAACAGGGCTCCTCTGAGAAATGACTGATGCCAGAGCCAGGGCAGAGAAAGTAAAATTACCAAAAGAACCTGAACATCTTGCTATACCAGAAAGCAGGAAAGTATTCAATGAATCTTGGGGACAAGTGAAAAAGGACACAAAAGCTAACCTAAAAAGGTTCTCAGTGGCCAAATTGGGAATAATTTAAGTATAAAACTCGTGACAGAAATGGATTATAACTCACTGACTGAAATAGGAAAATGCAAGTCCACATAGATACAAAATATTTCCATCATTAGGGGGGCTGGGCATGGTGGCTCGTGCCTGAAATCCCAGCACTTTGGGAGGCCGAGGCGGGCAGATCACTTGAGGTCAGGAGTTCGAGGCCAGCCTAGCCAACATGGTGAAACTCCGTCTCTACTAAAAAATACAAAAACTAGCTGGGTGTGGTGGCATGCTATTTGTGGGGCTGAGGCAGGAGAATCACTTGAACCCGGGAGGCGGAGGTTGCGGTGAGCTGAAATCTCACCACTGCACTCTAGCCTGGGTGACTAAGCGAGACTGTGTCTTAAAAAAAAAAAAAAAAAAAAACTGTGTAAATCAACTGCTTAAAATAAATAAATTATATATATGCATATATATGTAAATATATTCTATGCATGTGTACATATATATTTCTGTGTATATATATTCTGTATGCAATATATATTCTATGTGTATATACATTCTGTGTGTATATATATATTCTACGTATATATTCATTGTGTATCTATCAAATGGTTTAAGAAAAAAAGTTGTTTATACTGTATGTGATGGTTACTCTTGTGTCAACTTATAATCCTAGATGATTACATATCTATCTCCTACTGGTTCCATTTCCCTTAAGAACCCTGACTATACTGTACTTGCAACTTTTCTATAAATTTGTGATTGTTGGCCAGGCGCGGTGGCTCACGCCTGTAATCCCAACACTTTGGGAGGCCAAGGCAGGCAGATCACTTGAGGTCAGGAGTTCAAGACTAGCCTAGCCAACGTGGTGAAACACCGTCTCTACTAAAAATACAAAAATTAGCTGGGCGTGGTGGAGAGAACCTGTAATCCCACCTATTCAGAAGGCTGAGACAGGAGAATCATTTGAACCCAGGAGGCAGAGGTTGCAGTGAGCAGACACTGTGCCCCTGCACTCCAGCCTAGGTGACAAAGCAAGACTCTGTCTCCAAAAAAAAAACAAAAAAAAAGGTTACTGTTTCAATTTTTTTTTATTTAATTTTAAATTTAAAAAATTGTTTAGGTTATTGTTAGAACAAGTTACAGGGGATTTGTTTATTTGTTTGTTTGTTTTGTTTTGTTTTAGAGACAGGGTCTTGCCGTGTTACCTAAGCTGGTCTCAAACTCCTGGGCCCAAACCATCCTCCCGCCTTGGCCTCCCAAAGTGCTGGGATTACAGGTGTGAGCAAAGTTACAGGTTTTGATATGTTAGTTAATATTAAACTATTAAATATTTTTACATAGGTTGTCCACGTACTACCTAAAATCATGAGATTTAACACTACCAGAGATAAATCTAACGCATTTGGGAAACAGCAACCTAACCCCAGTAATTTACTACACCTGATGCTGATCCTTCTTTTGTCTGGCACATAAAAGGTGTCCAAGGAAGGCTGAACTGAACAGTCTACACCTTTGCTTGCTCACCACTGACTCTGTCTGACCCCTGAAGCTTCCATTAAAATAAGCAGTCTCCAAACAAAAAAAAAAATTAAAAATAAATAAAATAAGCAGTCTCAGCCAGGAGGCGTGGTTCATGCCTGTAATCCCAACACTTTGGGAGGGGGAGATGGAAGGATCACTTGAGGCCAGGAGCTCAAGACCAGCCTGGGCAACATACGGAGATCCCACCTCTACACAATTTTTCTTTTTTTTTTTTTTGAGATGGAGCGTTTGCTCTTGTTGCCCAGGCTGGAGTGCATGGCATGATCTAAGCTCACTGCAACCTCTGCCTCCCAGGTTCAAGCGATTCTCCTGCCTCAGCTCCCGAGTAGCTGGGATTACAGGCATGTGCCACCACACCCAGCTAATTTTTTGTATTTTTAGTAGAGATGGGGTTTCTCCATGTTGGTCAGGCTGGTCCCGAACTCCCAACCTCAAGTAATCTGCCTGCTTCGGCCTCCCAAAGTGCTGGGATTACAGGCGTGAGCCACCGCGCCTGGCTCACAAAATTTTTTTTTTTTTTTTTGAGACGAAGTCTCGCTCTGTCGCCCAGGCTGGAGTGCAGTGGCCAGATCTCAGCTCACTGCAAGCTCCGCCTCCCGGGTTCACGCCATTCTCCTGCCTCAGCCTCCCAAGTAGCTGGGGCTACAGGCGCCCGCCACCTCGCCCGGCTAGTTTTTTGTGTTTTTTAGTAGAGACGGGGTTTCACCAGGTTAGCCAGGATGGTCTCGATCTCCTGACCTCGTGATCCGCCCGTCTCGGCCTCCCAAAGTGCTGGGATTACAGGCTTGAGCCACCGCGCCCGGCACAAAATTTTTTTTTAAAGTTAGTTGGGGGCTGGGCACAGTGGCTCACGCCTGTAATCCCAGTACTTTGAGAGGCTGAAGTGGCCAGATCACTTGAGGTCAGGAGTTCGAGACCAGCCTGGCCAACATGGCAAAACTCTGTCTCTACTAAAAAATACAAAAAACATTAGCCAGACATGGTGGTGCCCGCCTGTAGTCCCAGCTACTAGGGAGGCTGAAGCACAAGAATCACTTGAACCCAGGAGGCAGAGGGTGCGGTGAGTGAGATCCAGCCACTGAACTCCAGTGGACTCTGTCTCAAAAAAATAAAAATAAAAAGAGTTTTTAAAATAATAAAGTGGGCCGGGCGCAGTGGCTCACACCTGTAATCCCAGCACTTTGGGAGGCCAAGGCAGGCAGACCACAAGGTCAGAAGTTCGAGACCAGCCGCCTGACCAACATGGTGAAACTCCCCCCTCTACTAAAAATACAAAAATTAGCCAGGTGTGGTGGCAGGCACCTGTAATCCCAGCTACTCAGGAGGCTGAGCCAGGAGAATCACTTGAACCTGGAAGGCGGAGGTTGCAGTGAGCCGAGTTTGCACCACTGCACTCTAGCCTGGGCAACAGAGTGAGACTCATTCTCTAAATAAATAAATAAATAAATAAATAATAAAGTGAACTGGGTGTGGCAGCACATGCCTATGGTCCCAGCTACTTGAGAGGCTGAGGCGGGAGGGTCCCTTAAGCCCAGGAGTTTGAAGATACAGTGAGCTATGACCGCACCACTGCATTCCGGCACAGATGACAGTGAGACCCTGTCTCTAAAATAATAGAAACAGTCGGCCAGGCGTGGTGGCTCACGCCTGTAATCCCAACACTTTGGAAGGCCAAGGCGGAGGAATCACGAGGTCAGGAGATGGAGACCAGCCGCCTGACCAACATGGTGAAACTCCCCCCTCTACTAAAAATACAAAAATTAGCCAGGTGTGGTGGCAGGCACCTGTAATCCCAGCTACTCAGGAGGCTGAGCCAGGAGAATCACTTGAACCTGGAAGGCGGAGGTTGCAGTGAGCCGAGTTTGCACCACTGCACTCTAGCCTGGGCAACAGAGTGAGACTCATTCTCTAAATAAATAAATAAATAAATAAACTGTCTCTGAGGACCCCTTCCAGCTGTCAGAGAACCTGGGCAGGTGTGCGGGCCTCTCCCAGGAGAGGCCTCGGACTTGTCTGCAGAACAGCATCCCTCCCTCCTCTCGGGCGCTTCTTTTCCTTTGCTCCTTGTGCTAGCTTCTCTCCTCTCATGCCCTTAAATTCCAAATGGCTCAGTTAAGGACCCTACTTTTCTTTTCTATGCATCCTCTTAAGGAATGAATAGGCGGCTTTAGTTAGCGCCTGTATGTGTATAATTTTATAAGCCCCCAGCCCACACTTCCACACGGTCATTTCAGGCCATTCGCCTGGAGGAAGGCATACCTATTTGAATGTCTCTATTGTTTGCCTGCTGTGTGGTCTATTGGATTATTTTCTTTTTACATGCACTATTTCCCATCAAAAACATAAGTATCACAAGGTCAGGGCTACATGTAATGCCTCTTCCCCAGGACCTAGAAACATACCAGACACAGCAGATGCTCAGGTAGTGTGAACTGATGAGACACAGTTCTTTCTCAGGAGCTGGGAGGCTGAGTGAGCATCTTCCACTCCTCTCTTCCAAATTATCTGCCATGTCGTCACTTTTCCTTTCTATTATGTTGCTCACATTTTATTGCTAAACACAGAAGCCACTCTCAGATCCTGACAAGCAGCTTTCTGCCCTCCACCGCTTCTCTGATTGGAGGGCACACAAAGTCACTGAAGTCCACAGGGCCAGACTCTGATCCCAACCTCCTCCTTCCAGAGGTCTAAATAATCCCCAACAGCCTCACAAAGTAAACTGCAATTCAAAAACTGGTTCTTGGGGGAATGGGGAGGTATTGTATAATGGATAGAGAGTTTCTGTTTGGGATAGAAAAGTTCTAGAAATGGATAGTGGTCATGGTTGTACAACATCATGAATGCATTGAATACCACTCAGTTGCACATTTAAAAATGGTTAAAATGGTACACTTTATGTTATATATATTTTACCACAATTTTTTAAAAAAAGGTTCTTGAGTTTCCCACCCATTTCCCCCTCCCCACCCAAATGTCCTCATTTCGCCATTTCCCAGTCTGTTCTGAACCACTGAACACACACACACACCCACACACACACACTTGCATAGCATTCTAGTACTCCAGAATGTCACACTTCTACCCAACATGTTCTCATCACTTCTCTCTGCCCAGAACCTACATTTCCCCCCATCAGTGAGAACTGTCCCTAACTGTCCCTTGCTCACCCACAACATCTCCCCTCACATCATCATTAATTAATTTGCTAATTGCTCTCCCGCTTCTGTGATACTTTAGCTGGTAAGCACCTGCTTTATAAATTTGCATTTTTCCTCCACTTTCCAAGGTTGTTTTTAAACCCTGAAAATAACAGCCATGGGACTTCTATTCCTTTTGCGAGCTTCCTGCAGAGCTGGGTACATTATCAGACATATCATGTGCACTAAAATGTCTGTAAGTAATAAATTACTCTCTGAATTCCAAGGCTGATGGCCATCTCTCTAAAACACAGCAAAAGAATCAATGTCGAGAGACAGTAGCCTTGTTTAAAAGAAAGAAAAATACCACAACAAAAAAGATAACGTTCTACCTGCTCTCAAACAAGCAACTCCCTAGCCACATAACAAAGAATTTTATTTGATTTCTTCAAAGGCCTGTTTTAAAACCAAATCCATATGCCCACAACACAAATATCTAAAGCGTGTACAAAAGCAATGCGATTCACCCCACCATATGTATATCCTGAGTCCCCAGCTAGCGGTCATAAAAGATCATCTTAAATTCATTAGTTAAAAGGCCAACTTGGTACTGAAATAAATCACAACTATAGAAACATGATACATCAAGAGGAATTTGTGAGCCTTCAAAATTAGCCAACATCAGTTCAAGAAGATGAGCTAAGAACACAAGAGCCCTTTTTGCCCCAACCATCATTAAATATAGTCACAGAGGAAAACGTGCTCGATCCTAGACGCCAGTGCAGCAGATTCTCGTCTTTGCAATGAACACCCCGGTACGGAAAGTGGACAAGCATGATGTTAAAATCCTCCTACCTGCTCCTGGGCCAATAAAGCCTTCTTCTTCATCACTTTCATAGCATGGATGTCCCCGGTTGCCTTCTCTCTCACCACCTGCACTTCAGCAAAGTGACCACAACCTACAAGACTTCTGACTTCAAAGTCCTTTGCCGAAGGCTGGAGCTCCTGTAACTCAGCTATGGTGTCGGAATCTGCAAAAGATGCAAGAGTTATCCCCAGGTAAATAAAGCATGCAAATATATGCATCTTTATGAAAGAAAAAAAAAAAGAAAATAGCGTTCGGATAGCTTCCCTCACTGTCAAAGACATTCACTTTCTCATCCATCATGAATAATTATAAAATCAGTACAAAAGTGTTTTTATATGTTAAGTTAAAATTAAGGGCTCCAGAAATTCCAAAGTACAGTTTCCATGGCAGCTACAATTTGAATCCCATAGACTCAGAAAATAGGGAGAGAGGATACAAATTATGTTTTCCTTCTTCCTCTCTGAAGGCTGCAGGGCAGTGTTTGGTCAAGCATGCTTATCAGCATTTAGACTGGTTTACAGTGTGACATAGTCAACAAGAGTCTAATTTAGACCAACTTGGGACCTGGCTTCCAGGTCATTCCATTCAAACTACATGTGCTTAGTTTTATCCCACTAGCCCAAGGTTCATCTTCCTTGGATTGTATCAGTAATGCCTTCGTAGATTTACTATGTGGCAGTGCTTAAAGGGGCAGAGGGGGCTGGGCATGGTGGCTGACACCTGTAATCCCAACACTTTGGGAGGCCTAGGCAGGTGGATCACTGGAGGTCAGGAGTTCAAGACCAGCCTGGCCAACATGGTGAAACCCCATCTCTACTAAAAATACAAAAATTAGCCAGGTGTGGTGGTGCATGCCCGTAATTCCAGCTACTCGGGGCTGAGGCACAAGAAACACTTGAACCTGGGAGGCAGAGGATGCAATGAGCTGAGATCGTGTCACTGCACTCCAATCTGGGTGACAGAGTGAAACTCTGTCTCTAAAAAAACAAAGCATGGAGGCCGGTCGCGGTGGTTCACACCTGTAATCCCAGCACTTTGGGAGGTTGAGGTGGGCAGATCACGAGGTCAGGAGATCAAGACCATCCTGGCTAACATGGTGAAACCCCATCGCTACTAAAAAAAATAATAAGCCAGGTGTGGTGGCGGGCACCTGTAGTCCCAGCTACTCGGGAGGCTGAGGCAGGAGGATGGTGTGAACCCAGGAGGCGGAGCTTGCAGTGAGCTGAGATTTTGCCACTGCATCACAGCCTGGGCGACAGAGCAAGACTCCATCTCCAAAAATAAATAAATAAATAAAAATTAAAAAAAAAAAAAAAAAAAAGCGTGGTAGGCAGAAGGGCTTAGCACTCAGAGAACCAAATGGGGCCCTGACATCTGCTCTGCAGGGCTGACATGCCACATGTCCAAATGGATTTGCAACTATCTTTTTCTTACCATACAGTCTCATTCTTTTTCCAAGTCTAATCTTTCAGTCAGAGATCCTCAACGTATGAAGTATGGACTAAATAGACAGCAGATTTGGAATCTAACATGTTTATTAACACTCTAGATACACTGATCTGATACATCGCTAGATGTGCGATGACCCTAATGACCTGCAGGAATGAAGGGGAGCAGCAGTGGCTGACCCAAAAATTTAATCCTGCACATTACAAGGGAACAGCATCATATACAGGCATTACACAACATGCGCAGGCAAGCAATTCTTATAATCAAAATTACCCTGGAGAATCCGGCAGAATGATGCCACACTAAAGACCAAGGGACTGTCTTAAAATCCCAAACACACACTGGAATCTTCTGGGAACTGGAGGGGATGGCCATTTCAATGGCTGGGCAGCAGATAAGGTTAGCAGTTACATTCTAGAGTCATACTCAGCCCTGCAAGTGGCTCACCCAATGAGATGGACTTGGTCCATCAAAGGGAAAAGCCATTTCATACCACAGTCAGTGACTGGCATTTTAATGAGTTGGCCAATGTCATTTTTTTCATTTTCTTTCTTTTTTTTTTTTTTTAAGAGACACAATTGGCCAGGCATAGTAGCTCACACCTGTAATCCCAACACTTTGGGAGGCCGAGGTGGGTGGATCACCTGAGGTCAGGAGCTCAACATGGTGAAACTCCCATCTCTACTAACAATACAAAAATTAGCTGTGCACGAGTGGCTGCTTGTAATCCCAGCTGCTCAGGAGGCTGAGGCAGGAGAATCACTTTAACCTGGGAGGTGCAGGTTGCAGTGAGCAGAGATCACACCACTGCACTTCAGCTTGGGTGACAGAGTGAGACTCCATCTCAAAAAAAAAAAAAAAAACATGATCTTGCCCTGTTGCCCAGCCTGGAATGCAGTGGTGAAATCATAGAATCATAGCTCACTGCAGCCTCGAACTCCTGGACTCAAGGGATCTTCAGCTACCTCATTCTCCCGAGTAGCTGGGACTATAGTGCACACTACCATATGTACAGGTAGGGTCTCATTATGCTGCCCAGGCTGGTCTCAAACTCCTGGACTAAAGCAATCCTCCCAACTTGGCTTCCCAAAGCACTAGGATTACAGGCATGAACTATCACACTCAGCCTGCAACTGTAACTGGTCTTGCCCACCCTCTTCCTTTGTTGCACGAGTGGAGTTGAAATCTCTTGGGTCAAAGGCATATATAATGAGTGCCACAGTACTAGAGTCTTCTAAGCCACAGACCCCACCCCTCACTTCAGCAGTCATCCTGAATACACCTTCCCTTGGTCCCTTGGGGAACCAGGCAAGAGTGCTGGGTGGATCCACACGAAGTCGTGACCACTGTAAAAAACAAATCTAGGGCATCTACATGGGGAACGCCATGAAGAAGCAAAATTAAAAGCTATACAGTATTTTCCTTTTGCCCTGACAATGCTGTAACAAGCCCGTCTTCCTTCCCTGTCTCTTTCCAAGTTTCTTTCAGATCAAGTATTTGAGTTTTGAATTATAATTCCCCAAAAACTTGCTGGATTGAACTGGATTTTCTTATTGCTCATACACAAAGTCAGTCTCTCCTAATTCTTCATTATGGCTTGGATTGTTTACAAAGTTGCTTACAGCGGTGTCCAACTTAATAACTGGGTCTGTCACTGGCGACCACCAGGTATCTCAACTGCACAAGGAGACAGACCACGTTGCGTTGCAGGCAAAACCACGACAATACTATCTTGGAATTCTGAGAAGCCATTTCAAATCTCCATTTCTTTATCTAAAGACTTTTGGATTATTAAGGCAAACAGATGAGAGGCTACATTCAAGCCTATGATTATTAAAAAAAAAAAAAAAGACCAGTACAATGGCTCAGGCCTGTAATCCCAGCACTTTGGGAAGCCCAGGTGGGTGGATCACCTGAGGTCAGGAGTTCAAGATCAGCCTGGTCAACATGGTGAAACCCCATCCCTACCAAATATAAAAAATTGGCTGGGTGTGGTGGCACATGCCTATAATCCCAGCTAGTCGGGAGGCTGAGGCATAAGAATCACTTGAACCAGGGAGACAGAGGTTGTGATGAGCTGAGATCGAGCCACTGCACTCCAGCCTGGGGGATAGAGTGAGATTTTGTCTCCAAAAAAAAAAAAAAAAGAACTTCACAACTTCTCTCTATACCAGCTACTTCTGTGACCCTAAAACCGTCACATCACTCTTCACCCCTGTGCACTTTTAGCTGCAGTATCTAAGGGCCCAGTGGGCATTGAATATTGAGGTACTGAGGTAGAGATAAGGACCCAAAGCACTGTGAAAATGCAGTCATAGAGCCAGGCGCCATGGCTTACGCCTGTAATCCCAGCACTTTGGGAGGCTGAGGCAGGTGGATCACCTGAGGTCAGAAGTTCAAGACCATCCTGGCTAACATGGTGAAACCCCACCTCTATGGAAAATACAAAAAATTAGCCAGGTGTGGTGGTGCATGCCTGTAATCCCAGCTACTTAGGAGGCTGAGGCAGGAGAATCACTTGAACCTGGGAGGCAGAGGCTGCAGTGAGCTGAGATCACGCCATTGCACTCCAGCCTAGGCAACAAGAGCGAAACTCCGACACCGTCTCAAAAAAAAAAAAAAAAAAAAAAGAAAAGAAAAGAAAAGAAAAGAAAATGCAATCAGAGAATAACTCTGTCAGATATCATCTGGACCCAAGAGCAAAAGCCAGCATAGCGGGGTGTATTGCTTCCTTTTTTGGAACATGGTAATTCAACCTTTCAATTTCTAGGAATCATCCATTGTCTACAGAAATACTTGCACATGTGCTCAAAAAAGATGTATACAAAGATGTGCACGATAAAAACTGTTGTAACAGAAAAATAATCAGAAACCACCTAAAGGTTTATCAAGAGGAAAGTTGAAACAGCCTACAAGTCTGCCCATAACAAGATGGCTCAGTCTCCATTAGAACACATATTCCTTACAGGCAGAGACTTTTCTCTGGTTTAAACAAACCAAGATGAGAGGAGGGAGACAATTTGAAAAAAATAACTATTTGAAAAAATAACGTTTGTTTGTTTGTTTGTTTCTGGGATGCAGTCTCACTCTGTCACCCTGGCTGGAGTGCAGTGGCGTGGTCTTGGCTCACTGCAACCTCCGCCTCCAGGGTTCAAGCAATTCTCATGCTTTGGTCTCCCGAGTAGCTGGAACTACAAGTGCCCACCGCACCCGGCTAATTTTTGTATTTTTAGGAGACTGGGTTTCACCATTTTGGCCAGGCTGGTCTCAAATTCCTGACCTCAAGTAATACACCCGCCTCGGGCTCCCAAAGTGCCAGGATTACAGGCGTGAGCCACCACACCTGGCCACCTTGGGGTATGTTTTTAAATTTCCATAATAAATATTTTTAAGGCACACACAAAATTGGAATACTATACAGCAATCTGTTAGCAGTGATTATCTCAGGTAAGATTTGGAGGGATTTTTCTCTTACTATGTATGTGATGTGCTATAATCTAAATGTTTGTGCCCCTTGCCCCCGCAAAATTCATGTTGAAACGTAATCCCCAGTGTAATACTATTACGAGGTAGGACTTTTAGGGGCTGGCCACAGTGGCTCACACCTGTAATCCCAGCATTTTGGGCGGATCACTTGAGGTCAGGAGTTCAAGACCAGACTGGCTAACATGGTGAAACCGCTACTCTACTAAAAATACAAAAAAATTAGCCGGG